ATTATTGGACGAGGCAAGCGAGACCGGCTGTTCCGACCGCTGCCACTATTACTACTATTGATTTATTTGTCGTCGGTGGCTTTTTCTTCCAAGGCAAGGGCAACGATGCAGAGGATTTGCGACCAGGAGAAAGCAAGCCGCGTAAGACAAGTGTCGGTATGGTTCCAGAACTGTGGTACCATTAAACCGGTACTCCATATCAATAAGCTGCATTGGCGCCAACGCAATGCAATGCGGGACAAATGTGCTGCCAATGGGAAAGGCGCCTGAACTGGCCGTGGCATTCTCTTCATGCGTCGATCTGGCGGTAATCCATTTACCACCCATGTCCAGGCTAGTACTATCTGGGATGACTTTGAGACAGGCACAAGATAAGCTCAGCTTGTGAAAAAACACCTTAGCGGAGCCGCACACCCGCATGATCCCAACGATCTTGACATGAATACTGTGAAGACCGAAACCCGACGCCTCCTGCAACACCGCTGGAGGCGAAGCTCGAGGACACCACGCAACCGGAAAATCTTCCAAATGTGCTTTGGTGTGTCGCTCATGCTCCGACGTGCTTGACCGACTTTGCTCATCAAGAGGACTCTGAAATATGGTCCGAAGACAGGAAGCGTTTGAACAGTCAAGGATTTCGATGGTAGACCTTTTCCCAGAGGTACTTGTACCAGGCTGTGCGTAAAACAGGAGAGCCAATCATCTGGCCCACATAGCGAACGGAACCCTGGTCACGGATATAGATCCCTTCATTGCCTGCATTTATCTCATGCAGGACGTTACTAAGTCTCCTCCCTCTCGCTACCAAGTTTGATCCTTGATACTCGTCGTAGCGATGTGCTGCCATGCTGACCACTCGTTGTAACACGCCAACACGTCACTGGCTTCTTCTGTTAGGCCTGTCAATTAGGATGATACTAGTGATTCCCATGACGGCCCTCGCTCCTCATTCTCAGGCTAGCAAGTCTATTCAGTATTGCATCAGAGCCTTCAGACGCCTGGGTCGATCAATCGGTCTCGTTGGACGTCGGATGTGTCTCCTGATTTGGATGGAGATCAAATTTTCGGTGGACTGTCCTGGATTTGATTCCCAAGGACCTTGTGGGCTGGAATGAGTGAAGTGCCCCACGCCCGAATGATCTGCGTGATCGAGTCTCTGCTTCGAGAGACGCGAGCAAAGGCTGCTGCGCCCACCGCGGTCCTGTGGGAGCGATCCACAGGAGCGTGCCCCGATCGTCTCTATCGAAGCAAGCCATATGCATCGTGATTCCAATATCGGCACAGAAGTCTTTGATAGCTCACATGTTCCTCTCCCTCTACCATTTTAGCAACGCGCTACCAACGTTCGTGCAGAACCCCAGCATTCCGACTTCCCTCCCTTAAGAACTGCCTGTTTTCCATTCTGTCCGAGACATCATCTTTGACTCACCAATTTCACGCCAGCCTTGGAAGACAGCTGTATACTGCCGTTCAAACCATCATGTCTTACAGTCGCGGACCCCAGAGCCCCTTCGATGCCAAAGCCGTGCAAATGAGCGATCTTTCGCCATGGCGAATTTTTGACAGAGTATGGACGGCTGGCATGGGATACCCCGCCGATCAACTCGACATCACTCCAGGGGCAACGCCCATGTTGACCCTCAAATCGACTGCCATGATGCTAGTCTCCTATTATACCATCGTTCTTGGGGGTCGAGAGTTGATGAGATCCCGTCCTGCTTTCAAACTTAACGATCTATTCCTCATCCACAATTTTTACTTGACGGTCATTTCTGGCGCCTTGCTGGTACTTTTCGTGGAGCAACTCGGGCCTACCATCTGGAAGCACGGTGTATTCTTCGCCATCTGTGGAGATGGTGGCTGGACAGGGCCACTGGTCACTTTGTACTACGTGGGTCCAACAGCGATCTTTGCAACGGTGTTTCAAGCTGGCGAGGACTGACACTTGATAGCTCAACTACTTGACCAAATATCTTGAGCTTTTGGACACGGTCTTCCTCGTCTTGAAGAAGAAGCCACTGAGTGCGTCCCATGTGCCATGTCATTACTTGGACGAGAGCTGACGTTGACAGCTTTCCTCCACTGCTATCATCATGGAGCGACAGCGTTCCTTTGTTACACCCAGCTTATCGGGCGTACCCCGGTTTCATGGGTACCTATCACGTTGAATTTGACCGTACATGTGGTCATGTACTGGTACTACTTTCAAGCTGCGCGAGGCATTCGTATCTGGTGGAAAGAATGGATCACCAGACTCCAAATCGCACAGTTTGTCATCGACCTTGGTATGCCCCCCTCTCCCAGCTGTTCTACTCTAACTCTGGCCTTCCCCCTTCCTCCCGTCCTTCACCGACGCTGATGCTGGAACCAGGCTTCGTGTACTACGCTACGTACAATTACTATATTAACAAGTACATTCCCTCACTCCCCCATGTGGGGACGTGCGGAGGTGAGGAGTTCGCCGCCTTCACTGGTTGCGCGACCTTGAGCTCCTACCTTGTTCTCTTCATCTCTTTCTACGCTGCTACATACAAGAAGGCTAGCACGAAAGACAAACGATCGACATTAGCGATGAGTACGAGCATCCCTTCGGACGCCGTGCACGAGCTGGAGAGGAAGAAGATGCCGACGATGATGGAAACTTCGGAAACGGCGGTTGATGCACTGCACTGCGCCGAGGGATTGATGAAAGCCGCAGGAACGAGCATCGTCTCAACGACGCATGATCTCCACCTAATGGGAGGAGGGAAGTAGTGATTGGCAATGATTGGGGTCGCTTATGAGACGAAGTTTCACTGTCTGGCGGCGTGCATATGGCGGGGGGTGGGGGGGTTTCCTTAGAATAGGATTGACTTCTGATCCCTTTTTTAGGGAGGGGCGCGTAGGAAGTGTGGGTTGCAATGTAGAAAGAATAGTATAAAATGACATGTGAGATAAAGAAAGAGATGAGGTTGATTATATCCAATCAAGGTGAGGTTGATATGTGGATGGGTAGGCTATGCCTAGGGTAGAGTGATGAGAAGAAACTAAAGTATATTTTATTGGCTAAGGCTAAAGTCGAGCTAAGGGATGAGCTAAGGGATAAGCTAAGGGATAAGCTAAGGATTCGCTTGTGGCTGGGTTCCCTCTGGGCATCCCACCACTCTCCTCATGGCTTTACCTTAAGGTAGGTATATCTTTTCGGCCCGTGGCCCCGGTCCATGGCTGTTTCTATAGCCGTGACACCGGTAGAGAACTAGACATGTCATCAAATTCAACTTTATCTTAACTCCCCATCATTCTCTCCAGCACACAGTCCATCTCATTCTTCCTAGCCGAATCTGCTGTCTTTTTTTGCGGTACCAGCTCGTGAAAAGACTACTTAGAGCAGGATACAAAGGAAAAGGTAGGCATGCCGCAGTCTTTGGCAGCAGCTGACATGGACGATCCGAGCGCGTGCGCCAAGGGCAGGGGAGGGTCAGCTTCTTTTCCCCCTTTCGCTTGACTCGTTGACGCCACATATGCAAGGACGTTGGGACTACCCGGCCCTTCCGACCCCACAGAATGTCTCCGGTTCATTTTCGACATGAAAAGGGCTGGCCAGCACAAGTACGGAGTACGGGACTACGGAGTGACCGTGTCTCGCTTATCCATCCGAATGGGGGTGTGTTGGCGGGTTTTTGGCGGCCCGCTTATGGCACAGGCTAATGGGAGTGTGGCACACCCTCATGCTCATTGCTCATTGCTCCTCTTACCCCACGTTAGTCTGATCACCATGTGCACGCAAATGCCGCTCCCTTCTGCAAAGAGCACGAGACAAGGGTCTTGTGTAAGCGGTCGAGGCATTCCTTCCACCGAGGCATTCAATGCACATGGGTCTCGACGCTTTGATTTTGACGCGGAACTCGCTAGGAATTGACCGTGACGGAAGCAGTACACCCAAAGCATTTCCTCTGATGAAAATGTGGCTTTGGCTTTGGCTTTGTGGTTGCCTTTGCCTTTGTCTAACGGAGTGGGTTTGTTGACTTTGATGATGTTGATGATTTTGATGATTTTGATCAAGGGCAAGTCATTTGCAAAAGTCAAATTTTTTACTTTTCTTCTTTCAAGGGTCCAAGGGAGATCTAAAATAACGCCTGTTGACCTTCAACAAGGTAGTTCGTAGACCCTGACGCCTCCACCGTTCATTCGGGTCTAGCGGTTGATGTTATGCAGCTTTTAGCGCCAACTCTATTTCTTAGCACCTTGCCGATACCTTCTTAGAACCTTCTGAGCACGTTTCTCTATCATCTCGCGCAGTAAAGTCGTTTTGCATCGCGGCGCTAACTCTCTCAATGAAAAAAAAATGTGCCAGAGGAAGAAAAATAGAAATAAAAAAAATAAAGAAAAGGAACAAAACTCTATTCTGATAATGATAGACACCTCACATCACCCCAACCATCTCATGTCTCAGCTATTCACCCCGCATATGGTGGCTGGCTTCGGCCACATCGAAACTTGCTCTCAATCTACAGCGCGACTGCCGGCCTGCTTAGTAGCTGATGCGCTCCCAATCCTTCATGTCCTCGCTCGAAGGGGAAGTCGTCCTCCGTGTCCGCCTTCATATGCTCCTGTATCATTACGCAGTGATTGCCTGAAGGAGTCTTGATTGTGGAGGATCGACTGCCACGCGCCTAAAACGGTCCTTCGCAAGGATTCATGTAAAACACGCTGCATTTCATGCCGCCTCTGCCTCGGCTCTGCGCCTTGCTACCATGTGGGCGATGACCCTGTCTTGCTTCTTCTGCTCTCTCGGCGATTTCTTCGTGATCCAGGCATGAATCTCTGGATCTCTAGCTCTTCCATCTGCTTCTTCGCAATCAGTGGCGTTTGTGCAGGGAGAGCTGCGAGCAAGGCGTGTCCCCCTTCAGCTTGTCCCGTACATTGCAAGATTTTAAGCAAAATTCTGCCGTCCTGTCTTTCCACTGCCATCTCTCACCTAGCACTCCTCCTCTATAGCATCAGATCCACCAACATGGCAATCAAATTGGAGATGTTGCCGCTGCTGCTACTATCAGTTGGAGCAGCCGTAGTGGCTCAGATATTCGCTGAGTATCCAGCTGGGCCTGTTTTTGCTGGCATTTTTAGTGTCAGCATTCTGGTCTATCTGGTATACTGGACATATATCTACCCTTTCCACGTCTCTCCTCTTCGCAAGGTTCCAACTGTTCCCGGATTTCCACTCTGGGGCCAATTCTTCACCATCATCAAATCTGAAATCGGCGTGCCGCAAAGAGAATGGCATCTGAAGCACGGCCCAATCATTCGCTATTTCTTTCCTTTTGGTGCGGAGCGGCTCTCCATCGCCGACGACGATGCTCTGAACCACATGTGCATCAAGAACCCATACAACTTTCCGAAGCCTGATAGAGCCAAGCAATGGATGGTCCGAATCTTGGGGGAGGGTGTCTTACTCGCCGAGGGTAATCCACACAAGCAACAGCGCAAAGCCCTATCTCCAGGCTTCTCAACTCAATCCATCAAGGCTTTGACACCTATCTTCTGGCGAAAATCCCTGCTCTTGTCTAAGCTCTGGGAGCGAGACATGCTCGTCGAAAAGACGCGCACCAAAAAAATTGAAATCCTAGAATGGCTCAACAGGACCACTCTGGACATCATCGGAGAAGCTGGCTTCGGCACTGACCTCGACTCCCTCGAGCACCCCGAAACCCCGATCCGTGAAGCCTACCGCCTTGTCTTTGCTTTCGACATAAGTTCCCGTCTGTTCCACGGGCTCGCCGCCTTCATTCCGCAGACGAAGTATCTGCCCGCGAAGATGAACCGTGATGTACTTCAAAGCCGCAACATCATCATCAGTAAGGCGAACGACATTATACGCCAGAAGCACCAAAAGACGCATGCCAAAGATAAAGACATCATTGCACTCATCGTTAAGGATAACATGAAGATGGAAGCCGCGGGCGAGGCTTCTCTATCCTTCGATACCATGCGCGACCAGGTGATGACTTTCCTTGGCGCCGGCCACGATAGTAAGATAGGCTCGCTTCCAAGATATGTGCAGCTGCTAAAGTCATCATCTAGCAACGGCAACCGGTGTTGCTTGGACCATTCATCTGCTCTCAACGCATCCCGAAATTCAGCAGCGTGTCAGAGCAGAGATCAAGCAACACTACCCCTTCCTCTTCGATCCCACGACCCGCAGTGACGTCGAGCGTCTTTCAAAGCTTGACGCTGACAATCTCCATTACTTGGACAACGTATGCCGCGAATCCCTGCGGTACATTCCGCCTATCCCCATGACAGTGCGCCAATCCATCGTCGAGGACCAGCTTGGTGGCTTCGATATTCCCGCTGGCACAACGGTATACATCCACGCCAACGCTATACATCGCCTGCCTTCTTTCTGGGGTGACAACGCTAATACCTTTGACCCCGATCGGTGGGATCATCTTCCTGCTGACCACACGTCCAACGCATTCATGACGTTCCTGCAAGGTCCGAGAGGTTGCATTGGTCGTAAATTTGCGGAGACGGAGATGAAGTGTCTCGTCATCTGTCTTCTGAGTATGTACCGCTTTGAGCGTGATATCACTGTGGACAATCCTGAGCTGTGGAAGATGTGGCGGTTGGTTTTGAGACCAAGAGATGGGATTAGCTGCAAAGTTAGTGTGTTGGAGGAAGAGGAGAAGGCCGCCGTCCTTGTTTGAGATCCGCTGTACTAGTATATTGATGACACTCTTGTAGTGAGGTCTTCCTTCTGTGGTGAGTTACGGTACTCTGATTTTTTCTATAAATAAGTCGAAAGTTTGACAAACATCTGGCCACCACTTTATGAGCGTCAGTGAAATTCGTGTACCAAATCAGACGTGAGCCGAGTCGTTGATATAATGAGGCCTAGAGGGATTCGTGATTCTGCTAAATGGTGATCTTCCTGAAGTCACCCTTGTGACCGTGACAATCATAACTGGCCGCTCTTGTAATATTATACCAGTCACGAGGACTTTACACAATGATGATGCTAGCGGGCTGCAACCCTCCTACGCACACAACATGTAGATAGCAGACCGAACGTTATCGTGATGAAGCTCGATTTGACCGGCCAACCGTTCCGTCTTGTCGACAGTATTTAGAGACGGTAGACTCTGTTGTCCGGCAAGGCCATCGAGGCATTCCAAGAAGACCTAAGTCGTTAGTCCCAGGGTCAGGTTGACATTGAGGAGAAGCCGAATAGGAAGGGTCCGTGTCTGGTCATGTTCAAAAGCTGAGTGCAGAAGCTTACCAGCAGAGACCGAGACTGGGATTCTTTTCAAGACTACCGTAGACGCGAGCAATGCCAGGCAGAGCAGGGCCAAGAGTATTTGGTGAAATAGAGGGCGCTTAAAGCTTTGCGCTACAATAGGTGAGACATCGTAGCCTTTGCTGACGTCCATGCCAGAAAGCAAGCGCCGTCCAGATTTGAGGCGACACGTTGAGCAGAGTGGTCAATGCTCACATGCCATGAGCATCTGATTCTGGGAGACTCGAAGGGCAAACGCGACTGTGAGTCTGTGCTGGGTGACCGATCAGCAGAAGGGTCAAGATCGCGTCGAAAACAAACAGGCTCATGTGTTATATGAGTTGATGTCAGCGTGTCAGTCTGTCCAATGAGCATGACATTATGCCTCCTGAGGGGTCGAATTAAACTTCGGCGCATCTTTCATGCGTCATCAATATGTAAACACCCGTTATGCGGATGGGCCCTGAGTCAGACGTCTGAAGGACTGTGAGATTGTAGACTGATGCAGAAGTCGACGATACATCTCCACGATGCAATGCACCGTACCGGACCCCGCAAACTTAGGTCGTTGCCGATCGAAACTCAGCGCTTGAGTGCACATGGCAGCCTTCAATGCCATGATCCACGAGGTTCGTCAGCCATGCAAGCGTATGCTGTCTGCCGAACTGCAGTAGGCATCCGATCCGCATATGCAACGGACCACGAGGACATGACATGTTGCATGGAGGACAGCAGTGGCTGTGCACCAAATCATTCTCCAAGCGGCAATACAGAAACACGAGTACTGCTTAGGTTCCCACTAACCAAATGCGAGATGGAGGCCGCACGTGACTGTGTTTGTCGTAGGAAAGGATCCCGACCCTCCAATGCTTCTGCAATGTCTCGGATTCTTGTGTAACGTTGCGGAAACAGATGGCATTGCGAGGGGATAGTTACATGTTCGAGGAAGAGGCCGCTCGGAAACTGTGTCTGAGGAAACCGTGGAGCCACGGACTCGACGCAAAGAGATCCTCAAACCCAAAGCGTTACAGTCTTGGAGCGAGGACGCTTGAGAGCGAGAAGTGACTAAGAATTCGCAATGCACAAGAGCTATAGGACAAAGAAAAAGGTAAGTATCATACTACATAACCTATATGGACAGCATACATGATTTGTGATGTTAGATAACTATAAAGGGAATAGCTCAGCCTGCACGCATGTAATTGTTTGCCTGCCTAAATTGTTCCGAGGTGTAGACAGCCAATAGAATCAGTCAGAGCGAACAGCGGACCTCGGTTGGCCTTTTCACCGGATATTGAAGATGGAGTCTTTCGAAAGTAGTATTTTTCTTTTTTTTGTCCTTATAATAGCCTGACTCGGATTTTCTCAAGAACGACGGGCATTATGGTTCCTGGGCATCTTCATTATAGTGGACCATCCAGCAACAAAAGTGGGAGAATAATAGAATAATAGAACAATAGGCCAAAAAGAGCGCACAGGAAGGAAATCCGAGCAGAAGGATGTGCAGTCGAGGCAGTAAAATGCTGCATTAAAGGGATCAGCAAAGGAAGGGGGAGTACAAAAAAATGACAAAGGCAAAAAGGCTCGAGGGGCTCCACGACCAGAGTTTTGGTTGGACTGATCATCACTGATGTGCCAAAGCCGATCGAGTCCGTTCGACTGGACTGGACTGGGACTGGACTGGACTGGACTGGACTGGACTGGCGCTCTAAGTGAAGTCTCGTTTCTGATTAGCTCGACTGTTCTTGTCCTTGTCCACTTGTCATTCGAGAATTGAGCCTCAGTGTGAAATCCTGAGATCGTTTTCGGGCTGCAGATATGATTCCATGTGTGTTCTGCTTCAGCAATCATATGTAGAGATTAGCTTTGTTGTTGCGCTCAACGGTCCCAGCACCAGAAAGGAATCCCAACCATACAAACGGAAGAGAAAAACCAGGACCAAGAAATCAAGTTACGGTTTTCATCTGCTTATGTTCAGATTTGATGCTTCACCAGTCGACTTGTTTCACCTGTTAACCGTCAATGTCATCGTTGTCTCGTTATTGAGATAGCAAGACCGTTCTACGCACTCCATTTTCCCAGACTCCCTGACATTTCTCAGCCCTACGAGTCGTCGCCAATAGCCTCTTGATTTTGGCTTGGCGTTGGACCCTTACTTCCTTGCCGCCGCTCACGCGACTACAATTTCCTTGATCTTGTCTTTTTGACGTCAAGCACAACTACTGCAAAACACATCGCTCTACTTTCTACCCTACCACCCTCACTCAATAGCAATATTACTCTCAACGTTACTCAGGCCTCAGCACCACCATGGATATCGCCAACAAGTGAGCCGACTCTTGACTCCGCTCCTGCCTCTCCATCTTGAACAACCAACTCTCAGTTTCAACACGATATGCTGACCTTGAAAACAATCAAGGCTCTTCTCGCTTACTCTGGGCGTGGAGCCTAACAAGGCCACGTTACAGGGTTTGGCATCTACCTTGAACAGCGCAGGTAAGATAATTCTGAGCTCCTGAGCACACATGTATACGATTGGCTCATCGCTCAACTTTGCTCAGTCCTCTCACTCGCCGACAAACAGAAAGCTCTCGAGCAATTCGCCGACACCGCCGAAGCACAAAAGTTCGTTTCGCAGGCTCCCATCCCACAGCAACAGTTCACTCAGCCACAAATCCAATACATCCAAGCAGCACCAACACCCCAGGCAGCTCAAGCCCGCAGAGCAAAGATCCTTCGAGACCCCGTGGTATGGCAGATCAGTGAGAAGCAAATGAAGGAGCTGCAATGGAAGAGGAAGCAGTTGCTGCAAGCACAGAAGGCTGAGTTGGAACGAAAGAAGACGGCGAGGGCGAAGAGACCCCCGCCGCCTAAGCTGGGAGCGTCCAAAAACGGCGTGAATAAGACACAGCAGGCAAAAGCTCCCCAGCCAAAGGCCCCACAGCCCAAAGCCGAATCCCTCAAGGTTTCTCAAGCTAAACCTGCGCAGAACAAGGCGCCCGCGAAACCCCAGGCACCTCCTGCCAAAGCCCCTGCAGCACCAAAAGCGCCAGCGAAGGCACCTGCCAAGAAGGCTTGAGTTCTACACTGCAAAGCTGGACGACAAACACGCGGTGCGTAAGGCAATCACACTGGCCTGGTTTCCGCTCAGCATCTCGCCTGTATTATTATTTCGGTTGGATTCATTTGAGGAATGTATGATATTTCGCATGCAGCAAGAGGCCGTCATGTACAAACAGCATCAAATAGGACATTGCAAGTTCGGACATCGAGACAACGAAATGAACCCTCATTTTCTTGCAAGATTGAGACCAGAAAGTCATCAACTAACCGTTAAGGCAGCTTCAATGAGAGTTCAGATCTACGAGGCAAGCTTAAGCTATCGCTTTCACAAGACTATTCTAGATTTCACCTCCTATAGGTATACTTGTTCCACGAAAATGTAGCATTCTGTGTCTAGAAGCGGTTCGGATGGGATTCATGACAGTAAAGTTCGGCCATCGTATTGACCTCGTACCGCTGCAAGCCTCTTTTGCTTGACTTGCCACTAGAACATATTTCGTAGGGCTGAATCCCCTCAACTTCTTATCACCTATCACCGCGAATTACTTTACAATTGCGCCTGCGGGTACTCGTTTCACAATAATATAATTAAAAACTAGGAAAAAAATTAAAAGAGCGTAGAATATAGTTATGAGAATTTTTTAGATTTTTATAGTCGGGTTTGAATTGATAAAGTTATATAATAGTGTATTCAGATATAACCGTCGACGTTTATTACGCTATTATATAAATCAATAATTATTACCTCAATTTTAAGGATTCTTAAATTATAAACATTAAGTTTTAGAGATTGCAAATCCTAGTAGATTGCAAATCCTAGTGAATACGAGTATGATCCGTACGAGCGCACGGATCTTGACGGGCCATAGAAGACGAGACACCTCTCGCTCATTGTTAGTCCTCAGCGATTACATGTGCATGAACCGGCAAAATGCCTCCACCAAAGGGTGTTCATAACCCGTTGGCTGGACCTGGTAGGACATTACTGCCGTCACACTTACTTAGGACTGACCTTGATCACAGGAGACGACTATACCAAGACCCTGCACAGCGATACTTATGAGGCAATCGACAGTAGCAAAGCCAACCTCCATGGCAAAAACGTCTTCATATGCGGTGCCTCTAAAGGAATTGGCAGATCCATTACCCTCTCCTTCGCCAAAGCGGGCGCTTCCTGCATTGCCATAGGTGCCCGCTCCGAACAGGCATTACTTGAGAAAGAGATCAAGGACGCTGCTGCGGGAGCAAAGAAGAGCCCTCCAAAATTACTGCAAATAAAGCTCGACGTAACGGATCAAAAGAGTATCGAGCGCGCAGCAGCGAATATTGAGAATCAGTTCGGGCGCCTCGATGTTCTCGTTCACAATGCTGGCATAGTTGGCACTCCAAGCCCAATCGTCGATAGCGATCCAGAAGATTGGTGGAAGACCTGGGACGTGAACGTGCGAGGACCCTACCTGGTGACTCGCGCTTTTCTACCCTTGATGCTCAAAGGGGGCGACAAGCAGATCGTTAATGTCAGCAGCGTTGGAGCTTTTCTCACTGGACAAGGATTGAGTTCCTACCAAGCATCAAAACTCGCCCTCATTCGTTTTACAGAATTCATCGTTTCCGAATATGGTGAGAATGGTGTTCTGGCATTTTGTATTCATCCTGGAAATATACCAGGCACGGACAGTACGTTATAATTTCCGAGGCAATCCTTCCCGATTTATGCTGTTTTATGAGTCGTCAGACGTATCCCAAGAGGTTCTGCTCCTAAGACACGTCTCGCGATTCAGATTTCCTCTAAAAGAGTAATGCTGACTTCGATATCATCTAGTCTTGGGTCCTGGTGGCGTACCAGATTCCCTAAAGCATAGTATGTCATCTGCCATAGAGCATCCTTTGGTATGAGATGAGACCTGTGCTGATGCTACGAAGTTTTCACCGAGACCACCGAGCTTCCTGCGGATACTATCGTCTACTTGACACAAGAGAAGCGCGACTGGCTAGCTGGGAGGTACATCAACTGCACTTGGGATATGCCTGAACTTATGGCAAAGAAGGATGAGATTATCAAAGAGGACAAGTTGAAGATCAGATTGGTAGTATGAGTTAGAGCCTAAGCATATGACGATCGAATGTCTGCTAATCCGGAATTTGAATGTCTGTTGATTCATGAAGTGAGGGGTTTGTTACTCCGAGGTTTGTGCCATGTGACAAGCTATTCGAGCTTCACACTCTTAAGGTCGCGGAGATAAATCCTGGAATATCCGCTCATACGAGTGCTACTCAGGTCTTCGAAGCTGCCAGAACATGGGCCCACCACCACTTGTCCAACCCTTCATATGCTGAGACTGGTTCTTGGACCAGGGAGCATCTTCAAGCTTGTATCTGCCAAGCTGTGGCTTGCGTTGAACCTCAAACAACACTTGCGGAGGCGTTCAGCCTATGTTCTCTTGTCTTGTAGATCCTTCACTGCCTCAAAGATATGGTCAGCGCCACCTTGGGACTGCATACGAAGCTCATCATGCCAAGCAGATCAACATCGGCTCACGCAAGAAGAACCTGACCCTTAGATCCATCGCATTCGCCAGGACTACCCCAAAAGCTATAGCAGTACCAGCGAGGACAATACTCACAGAATTGATAAAAACGAAACGGTTGTAAGGTGATGTTAGAGGTATTTAATTCGTAATAGGTTCGATTCCTATTGGCGCTGGTACAATGGTGTTGCGGTGTTTCCTATTTTCTAGGTCGGACCCGAGGGTAGATAGAGCAGCGCTATGCTTGGTAAGGTGAAGAGCAAGTCGCCAGAGCTGAAACGGTAGACACCATGGGTCAGGTACAAGGCTGCACACAAAACTATCAACAGTGCAAGGAATCATAGAAGCCAATGTAGGGACCACTGAGCGCTGGCTCTCAATGGGAAACCTTTCACTATGACCTCAGACAGTCACTCGAAGGGAAGCTTGTTCCGGACTTGACCAGATTTGCGGCCTAGGCACACTGAGTACTTGTGGACGATGCTTTCTGGATTTTCCTGGACAGCCACTAAACTGGGACATTACAACAGAGTTTGACATTCCACCCGGATCAAGTCGGTCGAGGAAAGCACTCACAAAACGAACAACGCTCACACCTGGCAACGCAATGACAGAATAGACGAGCAGGACCATGAACATGTACTCATCGCTCGGCAGGACCATGAACATTTACTCATCGCTCGGTATCCCATGCGCTAGGAGATGTGTTCCTCATTCCGAACGCTACTGTTGTAGGGTAGAAAAGACCGGTCAAATTGAGATGGGTGAAAGAAGTCGAGAAAGTAAAGTCGCACCCGATGCTCTGTTGGGGTTGGAAGTGAACCTGGTAGAAAGAATATTCCAAGCCACGGAGCCGTGGCTTGAGGTAAGATCCGAGAGCCTGTACAGCTCCACAGGTGGACATGTGTGTGCAGTGGACTGTCTAATACGAATGTACTACTGGTCCAGCTCTTCGATAATCTGTCTTGTATACGAATGCCACCTTTTCATTATTGGTTGGTTCTATCACCTACCCTCTGCCTTTCCCAAGCGCAGGTAAGGTACTCTAAGCACGGTGCACTATGTCTGGCAGAGCAGAGTGCAGAGGGAGGGAAGAAGGCTGAGGTATGGCTTGCGTATGATAGGTATGCAGGAGGCAGCTTATTTAAATTAACCTTTGTCTCGAGACTTTCCAAACGATGTGAAACTGATTTTGACGCCTGAAAACCGGTTTTGATACACGACACGGAGAAGAGTCTCGATCGATCGCCATCAATCAATCATGCCTTGCCATGCCATGGGCCATGGCCGAGGGAACCCCTCAATCCGAGGCGCAGGCTCAGCTGGTTTAACTTTGTTTGGTGGGCTGGTGGGGTTTTTTGTTGACGTCAAAGGGTGTCGACCCGAGCACCCCTCTACACCGACCATTGTTTATATCGTCCCTGTATTGTCCTACTTTTCTCCACTGCTACTATATCATACCAGTTTCTCACTGTTTATATCTCCAAATTCCCAAAGCCTCCAAATCACAAATAAAGACATCTATTAGGAAACACCAAATCCTGTACGTTCACTTCTCGGAAGGCTTTCTCACCTCGCCAGCTAACACCGTCACCAGTTATACCCCACTCTTCCAAAATGGACAAAGTAGGAGGTGGGCGCCCCCTGTCCGTAGACTTGCTCGAGACCTTTCACACCACCTCTTGCTTTTCTCTCGCAAACATGTACTCTTTACATGTGCATTCTGGCGGCGTCGCCAGCCAGTAGTTCGCTTTTTCAGACTGTCCTCGCAGACACCTTACCCATACTGATTCTATCGAACAAGGCGTTCTCGGGGGCGTGACCGATACAGCAGGCAAGACCGTAGGCGGAGCCACCGAAACAGCGGGCAATGCTGGTAAGCCATATCTCCCTTCATTCCAGCTTACTTTCCCTTTATGTCAGCTACTGATCCATCACAGTCGGTGGAGTAGGTAACACCCTCGGCGACACCACCAAAGGCCTCACAGACACAGTTGGCGACACAACCAAGGGCGCAGGAAGCACCGTCTCCGACACCACCTCCGGTGTTAAGGATTCTACGGGTGCAGGGGGCAAGCAGGATGCGCAGAACCCATTGGGTCTCAGCTAGATCGCCCGATCGAAACGGTCGTGAGGGACTTCAGGAGGAAGCGTGCGTTTACCATAATTAATTAGAAAGATGAGGTACAAATATTGTGACGTTCGTTCATTGAATGCATATTACACAGCGAGGTCTGAGCTTCGCCTTGTCTTGAAGATTGTCATGCAGGCAGTCACCGCCTACGTCTTATTACCTGTTCTCTCCTTCCTCGTCGATAATTCGTAAATACGCATGACAATGAAAGCAATGCGCTCTGGTTCTGGGAACATATGTTAAGCTATGCATCGCTCCACTCGGGATGTAAAGGCATAATGAGTTTGTAAAATTTTCTTTCTCTCCAGGTCAAAGACACACAAACACGGATGAACATGAACTGCAGGCTGCGTCCCGGGAATCATTATCAAATTATGTTTCGCTCGCCTTTGGGTGTCAAGGTAGATTGGGCAAGATGCCATTTACAGGTCTGCTGTTACTATATCATACAGATCTCGGAACCTTCGTCCACCGGTATCGAAATACCATCCTCGACCTTCAACGCCTGCGCCGATCTGAATTTGTCCACGCTCCCATTGCTACACAGACCCCAATGCAGTCGACTATGCCAAAAACGCTATGCTTCAAACAGTCAAAAACGCAAGAATGAGGACGTAAAGCTCGTCAAGAACGACGGGGTTTTTTGCAGCTATGGAGCCAGAGAGATGCAAGGCTCGTGTTCGTAGAAAGGGACTGGTAATAGACAGTATTTAAGCCTCTGCCACTAGCTCAAGTCGGTGTTCCCGCCGCCGTCATTGGAGTGATGGGATTGACTTCTGTCAACGGCCTTGTGGTCGTTATAGTAGGAACTCGCACATGGGTGGCACACTTTGGTTTGGCGATTAGAGGCATAGTAGTAGCCTCGTGACAACGTCCAAACCATCCGTACTCAACACAGGATGTCGTTACAGGTGTGGCCTGCGTTGGCGTGGCTGTTGGTGACAATGTCGTCGTTTCGAGACATCCTCCAAACCATCCATATCTCACACAGGATGTCGTCGGCAGCTCTGTTGTTGCGGTTGAGCTTGAAGTACTCGTCGAGCTCGAGGTTGTGGTTTCATCAAGGCATCCTAAGAACATTAGCTGCTCGTCTCAAAAGCAACAGAGAACCATTACGTACCCCACCATCCAGGTGTCTGGCAGGTTGTAGTTCGTGTTGAAATTGCCGTTGAGGAGCTACTGCTCGACGAAGTGGTCTTGTCGGACCCATTGCTTTTAAAATACTTCCAATTGAAGCAGTCGACGCACTCCTCGTCTGGGATACAAGGCGGCACCTCATCGTATACTTCAAGCACGTCGTGGATTACGCTGCGAATCTTGTGATATCCGATCCCAACACGCCATCCCTTATCCCCAACGGTGTCGTAACGGGAAACACAGCCTGTATGACATTCGGTCTGCATCGAGTAACCCCCCAGAGTACATGCAGAGGTCGCTGCATTGCAGCTACCCATGAAGATAGGATCCGCAGTATGGCCGAAATGAACTGCTCCCGTATGCTTTCTTGTCTGGGGAGCACTTGAATGAGCGCCTGGTGGCGACGTGAGCCCTAGCCTTGCGGCGGCAAGAGCTTCACCTGGAGCCTCAAAGGTTGTAGTTGGCAGTCCAAACGTCAACCCCAGTAAGGCACTTGTTGAACCTCCTAACGAATGACCTGCAAGCCATATGTTCGAATTTGGGTACAGCTCTGTGACATTACCATAGAGTTCAATCGAGGCTGCGTAGTAGCGATTCTCCGCTCTCAAAGCCTTGACAAGGCACGTTTGGTTGCATGTATAAGCCGCCGTCATACACTCGCAGACAGGATGCCAAAGATATTGACCACCCTGACCGCAACAACAGCCGAAGAAGAGGTTGTCATTCGTTTTATCGTTTGTGGTTGTCTCGGCTCCATCAAAGACTGCTGGAGAGGTGCCTTTCAATGCTATCACAATGGTGGAATTGTCCTTGTTCGCGAAAATGTGACCCCGTAGACTATCTCCTTCCCATCCAAAGCCCTGCGTACGGTTAAATCTACCAGTCTCATCTTGCCATTCGCCAGTCCCAGGCTTGGTATTGTAGGCGTTCCATGACATCTTCGCCAGGCTCACGACTGTTTCCTTATCCGTGGTGTTGGGCCCATAAACTTTATCCATAGTCCATGCGGAGGCAGCGACTATGGGAGATGAACCCGTAAGTCTTGCCTCCTGGTACAGCGACTGCATTGTTAGTACTCTGCGATCGGAGAGTCTCTGTATGGTGATTTGTTCAGACTTCGCGTGTAAGGTCTCTAGCCGAGACTTTTCGCCCGTCCCATCTCCCGTAGCCCAGACGACATCCCCAGGCTTGATGTCCAAGCGCTGGTGTACATGTTGATATTCATATAATCCATGCACGAACAGATGCCTCAGCGTGAAGTCTTGCTCTCCGTTGGAAGAATCTAGAGGCGCCTGAGGGTCGTGAGCGGTCTCCGGAGGTAAGGAAACAATAGGGAACTGGTTTGCCCCATTGAGCCAACCGTCCGCCCATGACGCTGCTGCTGTTGCTGGGATAGTCGAGGAGGCGGCTAGCCATAAGAACAAGAGCTTCACTGTTACTCGACCAGCTGAATGACATCTATCCATGGTGGGCCATCGGTCTCCATATACACAATCGTGTGACAGGTTAGCAAGAGCTGTGAATCTCTCTTATATGAGGGTTAGGCAACAGTCGCAGTTGGTGAACGGCGACGATCAGCTGCGGGCATCGAGAATGGAGCGGCGCGGTGAATAATACCGCCGACGCCGGCTTGGCGTCCTCGTGCATGGCATTCTTTCGTTCGAGTGCAAGATCTACCTTACCATTCGTTCTCTTTTCGAGGGGTTTTGCGAACATCTCAGACAGCGAATACTCTTGGGCGGTTTTACGATATACAATCCGAACATGAAGGACTGAAACCTGATATTCTCATGTGATCAATATCTTTTGGGAGAATGCTCCATTATTTTAATACGTAAGCAGTACAAGTGTCTCAAGGTAGGTCTCGTAATGGTCAGCATGTCGCCCATTGCTGAACATGGCTTTGAAATATAACAACCTTCCTGCTGACTCTTTCTTAGGCAACTTCCCTTCGATGTCTTACACTCCGGTGATAGGGGCCAACGGCTCAAGCCGGCCGCAGACTTCTCACACGTCACATTCCTTCTCCCGACTCGTCTCTTCTCCACCCAGTCCTCTTGCTCGAAGCCGGGCGAGCACCCTTCAGACTGCGGCTGTTACCGGCAACCTGGGCTCGGAGATGACCACCTCGTCGTTGGATGAGAACAGTAGGGAAAAGCAGGAAGACATTTTCGAGAAAAGCAGCCTCATAAGCGGCGTAGAGGGGACTGTCAAAGATGTCAGTGAGATGGAATCTCCACAAGATGTCCCTGAGGGCTTTGATGAGCTTCCAATTGAGCTTGTCAGCTTGATAGATAGGTGACGAATATCAAACCCTATTAGGAAAATTGCTCTGCATACTAATCTTTTCTACGCTAGATTCATCGAATCGTTGAGTGCGAAGGTACATAGCACACCTCCATCAATTGAAAAATTGTCCGAAATATTCCAAGAGTTCTACGCGAAAGCGGAATCCCACATTGCCATACATATAAGTACCCTGTCAACCAGACAAAGTCGGAGAGCTTCTCCCAATCCATCAATATCTTCTAATGCATCTTACGTGGCCAAAAACGGCAGAAGGCTGCGGGCGTCGTCCTCTGGAGACCAATTGAGCTCACTGAATGGTGGAGGTCCTGAACAGCAGATGCTTACACCACAAGAGATTTCGGATCGCAGGAAAGCAAGGCGCTTGTTGGATCGAAAAGGAACAGCGTTAGAGGAAGCCGTTGAGAGGAGAGTTTGCCAACGTGTTTACAACCGCATATGGCGCCATCGGGCAACCTTGGATGAGGTCAGAGATGAGAAACTTCGATCTAGAACTGCAGCGTTGGCACTCGTTGGCATAGGATTACGAGATTTAGGCATCAACTTTGACCAGCAACCGTCGGAGACGGACAATATCCAGATTGAGGAGTGGATCTCGAAGGCCAGAGATGGTCTATTAAGGATGAATGACGCGAAGTATCCTCTGGGCAAATTGCAGCAGCTGGCTGCTGCACACAAAAATATCGTTGATTTACTCACAACTTTACATCAGTCCTCTTCTTCGGCAGATGAGATTCTGCCAACGCTTATCTACACTCTCATTACGACTCCACCGGAAGGAATCAATGTAATCAGTAATCTACATTTCGTACAGAGGTTCCGAGCAGCTAGCAAAGTCGATGGGGAAGCAGGTACGTACTTTTCGGACTAAAGCTCTCCTGTTTAGTAGCAAATTGGGGCCATAGTCCAGATTTCGGGAGCAGAGAGCTCCTTCACTCCTCTAGAATTATCTTGTTACTTAGGTGGAATGCCATGTTTCGGCAGTGAAAGGATATATCAGCTCTTCAAATGTGTCTCGTTTCTCGGTCTATTACCCTGAGAAAGCCATGCATGCTGACTCCGAAATCTACGTAGGTACGTACATTTCGGAGCCGATCCTTCCCATTTGGTACTGAAGTTGAGTTGCAAGACATGTTTCGGGAGCAAGAGGACTTTCCTACTCCCGAGAACTGTCTCGCTACTCCATCACCTACCTCGTACAAGCAATGCTGACTCCGAAATCTCTTAGCTTACTGCTTGGTAAATCTGGAAGCAGCAATCACATTTCTTGAGACAGTTGATCTTGCGAGTCTGCGTTCTGATGAACCACTATCAGGGCCTCCGAAATCAGAAAGCCGACCAACGACACCTCGAATGGAATCTCGACCTCAATGGACCTCCCACACATCAATTACACCTCCAATGTCTTCGACATCTGCCGCCACCTCCGCAATATCAGATCAGCCAGTTTCTCCTCACCCTCTGGAGTCGCCGAGCAAGCCTACGCACCCCACAACTCCAACTCATCAACGGAAATTGAGTAACTTGTTCCAGCCGCCCGCTAGCGCATTCGGAGCCGCGGGTGATGTTGTACGTACGACTGCTGATCAAGGGTTCAAGACGATTGGTAATACTCTCGACAATAGCTTCAAGCGTAAGTACCCTTTCTGATTTAGCGCCCTTCCTTTCATATCCTTTCTTGAGTCTAAGAACATGTCTGAGGAGCAAGTCCCTAGCCCCTGCTCCTCAAAGATGTTTTCAGACTTAATACTTCGTTTCAAAAGAGAATTGCTGACTCCGAAATGCTGTAGTCCTATTCGGCCGTCTTAAAGAACACAAGGTGGCCAACGACGGTGTCGGTGCAGAAGGCACGATTATCGTTCCAAGAACCCTCGATGACGCTCGGAGACTGGTCGAACCGCCCAAAGAAGAGGATGATGATGAGGACACTAGCCTTCCTTCAGCCAGCCTCCTAGCTACTCAAACCGACGAGCAGGCTGGAAATAACAGTTATAATAAATCGACTGACAGCTTACTCAATGCAATCGTAGGCCGCAAGCAGTCTCGTGACAGAAGCGTCGATAGTGTTCAAAGCTCAGGCAGTGGGAAAAGAGTAGCTTTTGCGGCCGAGAGCAACGACTCGTTGACTAAAGCTGGATCACCTACCTCTGCGCCGGCTGCGTCGAACGAGCCGCTGCACGCTGGCAATGTGGCGGTTGAGTCGATGCGGAGTCTCGGTAATACGCTCAACCCTCTTAAGGGGTTTGGGGGTATGAGTGTCATGCGAGGATTTGGACGGAGTACTTCTTCTGGTACACCCACTCCAACACTCGCTAACGCTGGGAAACCGAGCCAAGAGGTCCAGCAGGCTTCCACTACCAAAATAGACGGGATGGATGCTCAAACCTCGTCTATGAAAGCTTTACCACCGATCCAACGATACATGGATGTCGCAAGTGCGGAAGACCTTAAGATTGGTGAGGTGGGCGAGCTATTGAATGATTATAAACGTCTAGCTGGCGCCTTGAAGACTATGGGGGTGTTCTGATTAGCCGTGAGGATGGAGTTTGGGGTAAAAGATGCTTGCTAGAAGGAGCCGAGTGTTATTTCGAGATACCCTTTTTGCGAGGCTAATGGATTCCTATCCATTGCGGTTTGCGAGACCTTATCAACTCTTAGTTCGGGATGCCACTTGCAGCGTCCAAACGACTTTTACAGTCCGCCACATATTTTAAGGGATTGTAGCCAAAGTCATACTTATCCTGCTATTGGTCCAAATAAACTGTGGACTGAACAAACAATTTGGCCTTTTGCCGTTTCTGTCACGACTTCCAAAGGCAAGCCATGTCGATCGATGGTCGTGATGGCTTTAGTGAACTTCAAGTGAACTCCTCGTGTCTCATACATTGCTGCTCATGGCAGTATACCACACCCAGACTTTCCAATTTCGTAACCCTGCTTTCGTTTATCAGCAGTCGTTGTCATCTTGGTTACTAGCAGCTATCGTCTTTGCAGCTACGACTCGATATTACCTGATCCACTTGTGCCTTCACGCTCTTCGCACAATGGTTCAGAACAATTTGCCAGACACCGTGCGCTTCACCAGGAACCAAGCAGCGCGTACTATACATCACCTCAAACGCTCTCTTTTCTAGATCCTCCCTTCCGAGGTCAGAAACAAGGATTTGTTTAGTCATCGCTATACTCCCAGTCTGTATTCCGGCCTTGTTAGGGCGAACTACTCAATCTTCAGAGAAAAAGCTCCACTCGCCCAGGAAAAGGCTTGGTGGAGTTTATGTCTACCGATGAGGATGAACCCATCGTCCTAGGGACGATATGGGCAGCATCGGGTTGAAGTTATCCTAGTGCCCTGATGATACGTAAGAGGGTCGGGCAAAAGTCATGCATAGAGGGGGCCATTACCCGGGAAGTACCCAAGTTCCATTGAATTATTATGAACAGTCAATCTTTTCCGGCTGGTACTCACAGAATGACGCAAAAACGAAAAGATGGGAGCCCTTAGGGTTGCCACTTTTCCTAGCAATTTGCCTTGCGGATTTGGAAGCTTGAGCTTCTCTCCATGCATGACTTTGAGTACATTTTCTTACGTCGAGGATGATTTTGATGACTGATAGCGGCTTGAACTCCTTTTCATCAACCCAATATCCATAATCGCCGATGAGATATGGACGAGCTCGGGAAGGACACTGCGCCTCTTCCGGCTTTTTTCTCAGCTCTAAAGGAGATGCTGGAGAACAGAAGACTTTCCGAGCTCCGCGGCTGTCTTTCTTTCGTGGACTGAAGGCTCTCGCAAGATCCAGCTGTTGATCGAAAGTTCGAGACCCTCGCGAGGAAATTTCGATACTGGCAAGATTGATGTGTGCGGAGAGAGATACACTTGCTCAGAGAAGTGCCTGAGTTCTGTAGGTGTCCGAGACGCAGAAGAGGGACCAGGATAGCTGTTTCGCCGTTGAACATAGACGGGGATGTGGGAGACCTGCCGATAGCTGGACTTTTTGAGGGAACACGTGCATGCTGTTGCTTGTATGTACTGTATGACTTAGTACCCCAGGTCTATATCAGCTTCAACGCGAATCCACCCCCAACCTCTTCGGTGTCTCTATTCGCAAAAATGCCACTGAAATCCGCCGCTTCTCCCGCGATCCTCGGCGCATCCCCTCTCTTCGGCGCACTTGGACTCGCTAGTCTCCTCCTCTTTTCTTGGCCCGCCTTTGAGGGAAATGTGGGAAACATCGCTGTGCTTTTGGGCTTTGGATCTTCTCTAAAATAAGGATGAGCGAGAACTTCGCTTGCCGTGGGTCGTTGTGCAGGGTTTGGGCTGAGGAGGGACGTGAGCAGGGCAGACCCGGCAGTAGTCAGAAGGGGGAACTTGGCTCGGAGAACGTTCCCAGTCGTTTGGGAGATGCTTGGAAGCCGGAGTGAGCGGGCGTTGGGCAGACGTTTGAAGCCAGGCCAGGTGGCTTCGGTCGGAATGCCACAGAGTTCGAAAATCTGGGGAGCGGGTAAGCACAAAACGGTCAAAATCTGAGACGAAGCCCACCTTTGAAAGCTGATCAACTTCGTTCTTCCCTTGCAGCAAGGGATCCTTTGTCAAAAGCTCGCCGAATATGCAACCAACGCTCCATAAATCGATCTCTGCTCCATACTTCTCTGCGCCTAACAGTAGCTCTGGAGCGCGGTACCACAATGTCACTACGAGCTGCGTGAGCTTCGGTGGTGGATCACCATAGTATCTTGCCATGCCAAAGTCTGCGACCTTCAGCTGACCTCTGTTGTTCATGAGTAGATTCGAGGTCTTCAAGTCCCGATGTAAGATCCAATTGCTGTGCAGGTAGTCAACGGCCGAAGTGAGTTGTAGAAGTAATGTCTTGATCTCCGAGGGCGAGAAAGCATCGAGCATGTCTTCTTGCAGCGTCTTGAGGTCGTGCTCGAGGAAATCCATGACCAGGAAAACACTGGTCTTGAAGATCAGCTTTCGGAGACAACATCAATGCTTTCGACATAGCCACTTACTCGTCCAATTTGTCGCCCATAACGACCTCCCGTAAAGCAACGATGTTCGTATGCCGTGATGCCATCAGTGTCTGTATCTCTCGTAGGCCGGTGACCGGAAAACCGTCATTGGAATTGTCCATCTTGAGCTTTTTCAAAGCAACAATCCCCCCAGTAGCTGTCTCTTTGGCCCGCGATACCCAGCCATAGGAGCCTTCTTCGATATGGTTCAGCTTCTCGAAATTGTCGACATGCCTGCAGGGGCCCCATTCTGGCGCAGGGAAGCGCAAGAGCTTTGCTGGTGGTAGCTCTTTTAGAGGCGTATCAGGCTCTGGGGAAAGTTTTCTTCTCTTGAACGGCCGTTCAGCGGCTCCATTGATAGCTTCATGGTCGTGCGTAGCATCCTCAGTGGCGTCCACTGGATTTTGTCTCCGTAGACTCTCTTGCTCCTCAAGCTTCCGCTGTTTCTCTGCTTTCACCTTTCTCTTCAATTCTTTCTCACGCTTCCGCTGAGCTTCCAATGCTGCATCTTCCTCATCATCGGCCCATCGCGACTTGGAGTGGCTCGCCATGATCGAGACGAAAGTAGCGCGTCACCGACGGTTGGTGGAGATCAAATCTTAGGGTGTGACCGTCGCAGCATCCATAACTTTACTCCCGAGCAATTCCTATGATCATCGCATTCTGGACATGATCATTAGACCTGGGGTAAAGATCATTGCGAGCTCGAGGCCACTGGCGAGAGGCTGTTCAGGGTTGAAAGTTGACAAGAGAATTCGATGGGCATCATCGCCAGCTCGGCAATGGTCGACACCTCTGGCCAAAACCATTGCTGAAGCTATTGCTGTAAGCTCACTTCAACATTCGCTTATGCACACACTCTGATCATGAGGCCAGACTACAGGTCCAATTTCTATAGCAGCTTATATGCGCCAATGCCTCACATCCCCTGATGGTGGCTACTACACTTCACAAACGCAGGGCAAAGATCAATTCGGACAGAAAGGAGACTTCATTACCTCGCCAGAGATCTCTCAAATCTTTGGCGAATTACTGGGCATATGGCTTGTAACAGAATGGATGTCCCAAGGCAGGGTCAGCCATGGCGTGGAGGTCATTGAGGTTGGTCCAGGAAGAGGAACGCTGATGGATGATATGCTACGGGTATGGTACGATGCTCAATTCAGAGTTACGAGACACCAATCTAATCGCGGAGCAGACTCTCAGCAATTTCAAGCCGCTAGCAGCTAGCATCGAATCGGTCTATCTTGTGGAAGCCAGTCCAGCATTGCGTGATACCCAAAGGCAATTGCTCTGCGGAGATGTTCCCCTCGAGGAAATTGATATTGGTTTCAGGAGTACGAGCAAGTACTCAAGAGTCCCGGTGACATGGTGTGAAGACATTCGATTTGTACCCAACGGTAGATTCTGTCTTATCAGCCTGCAGAAAAGTCCAAGCTCAACTGACCTACCTATAGATTCAAGCAAGACCCCCTTCATCTTCGCCCACGAATTTTTTGACGCGCTTCCGATCCACGCCTTCCAATCCGTGGCTCCAAACTCGACCGAAACGTCTCAATTTCTCACAACTCCTACAGGGCCCCTTCCCCTTACCAAACCAGCTTCCCAGTCCAAGACGCCCCAATGGCGAGAATTGGTAGTCACGCCCACACCATCTGCCTCGAACATAACCACTACCACCTCGCCTTCCACTCCCAAATCTCAACCCGACTTTCAGCTCTCCCTCGCAAAAGCCTCGACCCCACCGTCACTCCTGTTTCCCACCCTTTCCCAGCGTTACAAAGCGCTTCTGCCAACCCCAGGTTCTGTCGTTGAGATATCACCGGAATCGCATTCTTATGCCGCAGATTTTGCTCGCCGTATCGGTGGCTCTTCCGCTAAGGCCAGCTCAAATTGCACATCCAGTACAATGGTCAAAAACCGTCCGTCCGGCGCAGCCTTAATTCTCGATTACGGTCCCGCAGACACGATCCCCACCAATACACTGCGCGGCATTCGCTCACATCAGCATGTCTCCCCTCTTACCGATCCCGGCCTCGTCGACATCTCTGCTGATGTCGATTTCATGGCCTTAGCCGAGACGGCACTAGCAGCTAGTCCGGCAGTCGAGGTGCATGGTCCCGTGGAGCAGGGAGGATGGCTACAAAGTATGGGGATTCGAGAGAGAGCAGACATCATTTGCAAGGGTCTGGGGGAAGACGAGGGAGGAAAGAAAAGGGTAAGGGGAGCTATCCAGCGATTGGTGGAGAGAGGTGGTGGCGCGATGGGGAAGCTCTATAAAGTCTTGGCGATAGTCCCGGAAAGGGATGGAAGGAGGCCTGTTGGATTTGGTGGAGGTGTGGAGTGAGTAGGAGCAGTGTGAGAGTTTGCAAAAAAGCCAACCGAACAAGGTGCCACAATTCTTTGGTCGGCAGATATCTGCTCTTTGGCTTTGATTACCATCAAGAAGTGTGTGCATTCTAGCCAAGGTAGAACATCGCTAGGGGAGTCATTGGGCTCCCCGATTCTAGCGAGTAACCCTGTGGCGCGAAACATCCGGAATTCTTTTTGAAAAGTCTGGTATCGCACAATAGTATAGGCTTCTGGTCTTTAGGTGTGCCAAGTCATGTCCTCAAGTACCGCCGCATCCCCTGAGATGCCGGTCTAGGAGGCCAAGAACTCTCGTATCCTTCAGTCGAAACCCAGGCACAATAACATCTGGGGCCATCAAAGGGTCAGAGTGTCAAGTAATGTGTCCCGTCTCTTGTTTTAAGACCGTTTGCTTCTCCGTTGAAAGCACTTCGGAGAAAATTTGAAGGCAGGATAGGGTCAATCTGCCAAACTACATGTTCTCTCTCATCCGTGACTCGAATACTAAACGCAAAATGTGGAGGGTCTCTTGACCGCCATTCTGGCTCATGAGGTGGGCTTCGGAGGTTCGTTTCACGCATATGCAATGCAATGTGGAGGCTTTGCCGAGACAAATTCCACGCACACGGGACTGAGAGCGAGAGCAGTTTGAGTCACTCTTCTCTGTCGGTGGACTCCGAGTAAAACACTTATACCTACTCCGTAGGTAGAGTCGCGACTGAAATTGGCAAAGTGTTGAATGTCTTGCAGAAGCCCCCCAACTCAGGTTAGCTCACATAAAAGCGGAAAAGGCAGCAGAGCATGAGACGCCTTGCGGAAAGGCAGGGGCTCACACTCAACACTTGATTTGAACCCCAGGGGAAGTGCAGCGTAAGATATCGACCAATCTCGAGTGGGACTGCCTCTTAGAGGCAAGTCTTGCATATTAAGGGCTGAGCAAGTGCAGTGCCGAGACTCAAAGGGAACATTGCAGAAGCCATTCACACGTGGAGCTGACTGTACTTTCGGATGATAAGCTGGAGAGGCCGAAGGCTCTCCCTGGATTTGTGATGCATATTTTGAAGCCAATTTCGAAACCTGACCGACATTCGGGGGAGGGGACGGTGATTGATTTAAAAGCAAGCGCTGGCAGAAACGGATGGGATTGGGGCCAGTTACTTCCCCTTGTCGGTCGCTTCTTTTGAGATGGGGTAAGTAGATGTCTAACCCCCCACCGATAGATTTTCTTGGGTTTGTAAGCCGAATAATCCAGTATGCAGAATGTTGAAGAGAAGTCAAAAAGCGGTCGAGGATTTCTTTCAATGATGGGGCTTGACTAGGTATCTGCATCATCGAAATGGTGAAAGAAATTCATGTCTCGGTCCTCGGTTCACTTCTGGTCCTGAATTGATAAAGTAAAGTAGGTTTTTTTCTTTCGCGAGGCTGCGGCCTGGCGGACCACTCACCTCGCACCCCCCGCTCATTCCGCGAGCCTTGGCGATTGGAAACCCTACCAGCTACCTTAAGTACCTACTTTAGCCTCGGACCTGTCGGACCTTCGGCTCAGTATTCGTACTCCGTATTCCGCAGTCGTGACTCGTAACTCGTAATTGACTTATGGACATGGTGGTACATGAAAGATTCCCCCAAGTCTTCCCTCACTGCCGTATGCGGGCTTGCCTTGGCACGTCTACAGGCTTCCTACGAAGGGGTTGTACGGCTTTTCATCCAGCTTGGAAAGTGTTGGAAGACCCGGTCAACGTAAGCCGCATTTGTTCATCCATATTAGCGACACTACTTATTTGGCCATTGACACATCAAGGATGGTGCAATTTGACTCTTTGCATTGAAAGTGAGACTGTAGGAGTCAGTCCATTTTGATTATGATATCCATGGACAAGGATGATTTCAAATCCCGCCGGAACAGAAGTAGATCCGTACCTTGATGCGCAAGAATCCCAATGCTTTGTTTGAGTACCTACAAGTTAGAAGTTAGAAGTTAGAAGTTAGAAGAAGAAAATAAAAAAAGCCAGCAAAGCCAATTCGTAAAGCTCGCTGCCTGGAAAGTAGTGGAAAAGGGAATACCTAATTGTGCGACTGCGAATTGACTGCCTAAACAGCAAATCGGGCGGTGAGGTGATGAGTTGCGTTGTGTGACTCAGCCCTGCTTTGGAATATCAAACAACGTGGTCGGAAAGGCGAAGGAAGATTGTGATTGGTGAGATATACCGGCGTGATTACTCTCCGCTGCCTTGAAATGGACTAAAGTAGCATCGCTACCTTAGCTTGACTTCTTAGAAATCCGAGGCCCTAGCGCGCGGTATTTGCAGGAACAAAGTCCGTCGGAGCATGGAGATTACTACACCGGTTCACAACAGATTGAAGAAGCATAAAGACAGCCCAGATCCCTCAGGCAATCATGACCATCTCAAACAAAGACCAGCAAACCAACAATCAAACTTCTCCTACACCCAATCCCTTCTTACAACAACATCTTCCCATACTTTCGCACAAGCCACCCTGACTCATTAACCAATTGCAAATCATCCTGCCCCATCTCACCATATCAGACATTGACTCATTGTCCCAAACATACAAACATGCCTTCCAATCTCAGATACCACATCTCTTCATCCACAACACCAGCATCATCAACAACCAGAACAGTCACTGCATCACCACCGCTAAAGAAGCAGAAGATGTCTCTCACTCAAACCTACTACCTCGCCCACACCGCCCGTGGTAAGCTCTCCAAGGAAGCTGCGCGGGGAGACCACGACCTCCGCCTTTTGGTCGGCCACGCCAACCTCCTTGATGGTCTGATGCTCGACCTTGCCAACGCCGAGCAAGAGCAAGAGAGCTGGTTTAATCAGACCGTCAAGAGAGCCTCCAAGGCATCCGAAGAGCCCAAGCACATTCAATGGGCAGACACAATTCCAGAAGAGCTGGAAGAGGCAGTGGAGGAGGAATTCTACGCCGAGAGCTCAGATAGCGACAGCGATTCGGACGATGATGAGGAGATGCAGAGCGCAGAGCCAATTGCCCTCCGCAATGTACCACAAGCGCCAGCTACCATCACCACCATTGAATATGAAGATGAGGACATGGAGGACGAAGACTATGAGAACGATCTCGCTCTTACTCGCACATCATCGGCACACCCACCAGAGCTCCTCCACGAGGATTCAGACTCGGAGTCAGAAGACGACTCCATGCCTCCCTCACCTGAGATGCCTCTCGATGCATTTTCCGAGAAACAAAGACAAGCAATTGCAACCACATCATACTACCAGTCACTACCAGTCAAGTCAGACTCGCCAGCCTCACTGCCGGAGTCGGATCAATCCTTCTTCGATGAGGGGTTCTACCTCCCTCAACGGCAACAGACAGCCATTGCAGCCTGTTAGGCACAGGGCTATTGATGACGATCCAACTGGTTTTATGACAGCGATTCAGCAAGAATACCCAAGCGAGCGTTGAGCGATCTTTTTCTACGATGTTTTGGATGGACAAAACCCTACTCCGATGACCATGGCTACAGCAGGATTCAAGGTGGAGTCTTTAGGGAAGGAATATTGAATGCCTAGCTACTCGTACATCTCCCTCAGTAAGAGGTTGAGAAGTTGTATAGAAGATAATCAACTACCCCAAGAAAAGTTTCAGGAGCGCCAGTGTCCCATCGCATGATTGTCTTCCATTTCCCACGCATTGACCTCCAGAGTAATCGTACTCGTAATTTCATCCTGCGCACTTCGCACCAACAATGCTCGATTCATTTCCCGGTCGACACATTGTTGCGTCGAGAAGAATAAAGGATGTCCCGCTCGTAATCGTAACTTGGGACAAGCATGATGATTCACACATGCAATCATTATCATTATCTACCCATCCCTGCGGGGACCTGTTGATCATCATTGCATAACCCCAAACTCCGAGCCGAGAACATGAGTCAGTCGTGCTGGAGTCCCGGCTAGCCTCTAGGGTCGCGCTCGGAAGGAAGCAAGAGCAAAAGTCCGATTGCCAAGATCGATAGATCGCTTCGGATGTTGCCTTTTTCTTTTTCTGCTGCTAACTGGAGCTTGCTGTTTCTGCTGCCAAGACGAGTCGGATTGTCAAGTTCAACTCAGGGTGCATGACAAGGTAGACAGCGCTCATAGCAAAAGCCAAGCTGCTGCCTTGTTGGTGTTGCCAAGCAGCTGAAGCTACACCACTAGACAGATCCCACACCACACCACACCACATCACACCTCACAACCTGGATCATGTCTGCCTACTCGGATAACATCCCCGTAGCAACACATCAAGCCTTTCGCCTCCGTCCATGGCTCTCTGCTTCATGAAATGGCCCGACTAACGCTTCTCTTGTCAAAGCTCGCAACTTCCGGACCCCCCGCCTAAACTGTACTCGCTTCCACAAGACTTCGCACATACATGTACGCTTGATTCCACTCCCTTCTGTCAATCCATAGGCCGCGACTTACCGATCGCTATTGAAGCTGCTTTCGAATATTCCAGGATAGCTGGCTGGCTGTCAACCAAGGCATGCCTCAATCACCGTCACCATTTCCAACCTTCTCCCCTTGCCCTCAATCACCCGCCCCAACACTTGGAGGATTGTCCGTCTCAGTACAGGCAGCATCAGAGGATACAAAGGATGCAAACGGACCAGACACGGTAGCCAGACAGAGACTTTCCTTTGCAGGGCCTGCAGCTAGCGCCTCGCTTCAAGACGTACGACGTGCCTCGATTCAATTCGCCTCGGGCACCGGTACAGCTACGCGTACTGCAAATTCAAGGCCGATTGCTTTGAAGCCGCAGCGGCGGCTATCATCGCCTCCACCGCCCTCGTAAGTTGTAGCATCTGATCTGTCGTTGAATTTCAAACGTCGATATGAAATGGCTTTGTTATCCTTTCTCCCTTGCAGCATGCATGATATTCGCTTAGTAGCACCGGATACTGTGGATCCTAGAAACCTCTTCCCGTATCCCATTGTAAAGACTGGTCCATCGATGGTAGCCGTCAATTCTCATCTTGAAAAGTCAAGAAAGTTGATTCAAATAGCACAATATGTCACAAGAAGCAATCACTATCAACAATAGCACAGTGCAGCACATATTCAAGTTCCATCCTGAGCACCCATCTGCATCAGATTATCTTGAGAACATGATGCTGAATTGTTTCCTTGATGGCAGTACTTATGAGTCCCGCGTCTCCTTCGACACCTTCGACAACAAAGACGCTACAGACCTTTCTTTCACTTTAGTCTCCAAGCATAAAGACTACGCCTATTCTCGTCGGTCTCGCACTTTCCTCTGTGGAACCGATCGTACGTACATTTCGGAGCTGGTTCTTCCTATTGGGTAGTGAATTTGAGTCGCAAGACATGTTTCGGGAGCAAGAAGACCTTTATACTCCCCAGACCTGTCTTGCAACTTCATTTCCCACCTCGAATAAACAATACTGACTCCGAAATCTGCGTAGAAAACGACTACTCGGAATTTGCTCTCGAATGGCTCGTTGAGGAGCTAGTGGAAGACGGCGACGAGATCGTCTGTCTTCGAGTTGTCGACAAAGATAGCAAGATTAGCAGCAATTTCAGCGTGGAGCAAGGTTTCTACAAAACTGAAGCTCGCAAGCTTCTCGAGCATATACAGGAAAAGAATGAAGAAGACAAAGCGATCAGCTTAGTTTTAGAATTCGCTGTGGGCAAGGTCCCGGAGACGATTCAACGCATGGTCCGTCTCTTCGTCTCCTCCCATCCCGTCGCTCTCGATATTTATACACTTGTTTCAGATCAAGATCTACGCTCCAGCCTGCCTAATTGTTGGAACACGCGGCAAGTCTCTGGGTGGCATTCAAGGCCTGCTGCCTGGCTCCGTGAGCAAGTACTGTCTTCAGAACTCGCCCGTTCCCGTAGTGGTGGTACGCCCTGAGGAAAAACGGGAGAAGAAGAAAAAGAAACGTCTTGCCGACCCCAGCCGCCAAAACTACTCTTCCATCTTAGACCAGACAATTGCTAGTGGCAGCGGAGCGTTCGAAAGTCTGGCTCGACAGTCTGGAGGTGAGGCGAGCGAAAATGAGGCAGCCGCGGTGGCGAAAGCAATCGGGCTGAACGAAGGCTCTGGGGCTTGGAAGGGGTTTAAGAAGGACGATGGAGATGGATCGCCGCTTATCAAGACCGTGAGCGGAAGGAGTGATGCTACCAGCGAAGCAGAGAGCCCTAGCCCGACTGGCCCATTGGTACTGGATGAAGCTCTGGAGGACGTGCCCGAGATAGATGACTCGGAAATGTCACTGTTGAGCGATGCCGGTCAGAAACGGGAAGAGGCCGACGATGAAGAAGGCGCAGAGAGCAAGACATTTAAGGAAGTGGATCCTATCAATGACTCTACATTCAGTGGGCCTGAGGAAGCCGAGGCTTGTTAAGGCAACGAAAACGAAGTTTGAGACTGGAAACGAGTCTAGCGGTGATACTGTTACCATGGGCATCTATCATCATAGATCATCCGGGTGGTGCAGTCCCTAGGATTGCCTACAGGAGGAAGGTAGATACAATGGAAGGGAGATCAACATCGTAGCCTTTTGGCACGCAGCACGAACACTATCGGGTCTGAAGCTTTCATTACGAAGACCGACTGATGGCAAAATCAAAGCTGACAATCCAAACGCTGCAGATGTACCTCGCCATTTATAGCAGACAAGAACAATTGGCAGGGAACGTTATGACCTGCATGATCCAACCCTATCTTAGATCCCCCTTTATTTCAACCCCTTGAGTTTCATCACCTCTCAACTTCACCCTTATGTCAATAGCTGAGGATGCATCTAGTTCTTATGACGGGAAGTAAAAAAAAAATAGTGTCTATATTCTTCAAATCAGATCAAATGTCATGAGGAGCGCGCTCATCGCAATGTCATTGCAATACTTTGAACCCGGCTCCGACCGCAAACATCTGGAGCAACATTCAGCCTGATCAAGAAACCTCCACTTTTGCAAAACTTCGAAACGTCAAAGCTTCCATCCCAGCCTACCTCATCCAAAACTACTTGAAAAACATCCATTCTCGTTCGCTTCCAGGACATGGATCCAGCAACAATCATTCGACTCGTCGAGGGATCGCTGAGTTTGGCATTGCAATGCGGCCAAGCCACAAAACGCTAAGCGACATTGCTGCGAAATACAAGTATGCTAAGCTTACAATTCTCAGCATGGTCCAGGGTTTGGATACCATTTAGTTGGCATGGAGCCAGATTGGTGACTGGTCTCAGAAATATATACCCGAAACGGCCGGAGACGGCGAAGTCCTCCTACAAAGGCTGCAGCGGTCTCTAGAGAACGGCATAATCATAATGGATGCTCTGGAGGGAGATCTAAAACCCTACCAAAGCAATAAACTGAGCTTTATGCAGCGCTCAAAAGCCATCTGGAACGAAAACACTCTCCGCGGCCACCAAGATCGGATCAGCCACCAGGCGCTGGCTATGACTTGCTTGCTGCAGGCTATACAGCTCAAGTCCTCACTGGCTAGAACCCGACTGATGGACGAGGCGGAGCCTATGCTCCGCAGATCCGACGAGAGTGCATATAGTATCACCAGTATTGTGCCCTCACGAATGTCCTCACGCGTGTCAAAGTCAAACTATCGAAATTCCACTGGAGGTACAAGCGTTACGAGTGCAGAAAATGTATTATCGGCGGCTAAGCTTCGAAAATGATCTGTTCACGGCGACAGCCTACAGAACATCTCTTCACTTCGAGACGATCACGGCCGCTAAAGCCTAATTCGTTGTCAGCAACCCGGATCAAATCCACAGCCCCGAGTCTTGACGAAAGAGCCATAACTCCAAATACTCATGAGAGCCTGCAGGTCCATGGTCAAAAGGAATTTGCCAATGAGCAAGCCAAACAGAGCTACGTCGCTGCCCTCGAAAGCTTGAGTAAGAGTGACAAGGACAAAGCTCTTCTCGAGGCTTGCCGTAGTGGTGATGCAAAGCTTGTTGAATCTTATTTGAAGAATCAAAGGAGCTATGACGAGCAAAATTATGCTCGAAAGCGCCTTCTGCTGGAAGGCTTGAAAGATGCGATTGTAGTCGGATATCATGACGTTGTGAGGAGGCTCCTAAGCCTTGACATTCCCCTTAACAACTCATTACCGGGGGCCTACGGCTGGGTTCCTCTTCAATTTGCCGCTCACAGAGGCGATGTAGCAACGGCAAATATACTCTTGGAAGCCGGGGCCGATGTGTCTCCCTCGGGCAGCGGCACCACCCCACCCATCCACATTGCTTCACATAGAGGAAGCTTGGAGATCACTTCTATGTTGCTTACTGCCGGCGCTGCTATTGACTCAACCGATGGCTACGGATTCCAACCAATCCATCTCGCATCGACGTACGTAGAGAGATCTGCTCAAATTGCGCTACTCGTCAGCGCAGGCGCAAATGTAGAAGCACTAAACCCTCTCGCACCGTCGTGGCAGACGTCCCCACTCCAACTCGCGTGCCTTACAGGCCAACTGGCAAAGGTGTGCGCTCTCCTTGACCTCGGCACCATAATCGACATGGGGCGAAGCCTTCTCGACGAGCCACTGGGTATCGCGATCCGCCAACGTCATGTAAGGATCGTACAGGCACTTTTGAAGCGTGGCGCTGATGCAAATTATGCGTCCAAATCCAAATCGAAGAGCTTGTTCGCTACGCAAAGCGTTCGTCTAGGAAGACCCGGCATGACGCCTCTTAGCCTATTAGCCAAGCATTTCGGTGACGCGCGCAGGAAGACTGCGCTCGATCAGGCGATGCTTGAGTTACTACTGGAGCATGGCGCGGATTTGAAGTCGAAGGATGATGAAGGTAATCAGGTTCTGCATTATCTATGCATGAGCCGGTCCTCGGTGAACCTCGACTTCAGGAACAATGCGAACGACGAGGGATTAATTTTGACGCTCTTGGACCAGAGCATCGACGTCAATGCTACGAACTATCACGGCGAGTGTCCGCTGTTCCTGGCTGCTGTGAACTGCAACGAACAACTCGTTTCTTAGCTGTTGCTGAACGGAGCGAGGTCTTTGTCCAGTGCGGAGCTTTTTCGATTGTCTAAGATCGTGGAAGGGGTTGAAAAGGGACGACCAGATATGCGAGATAATTTTAGGGAGGTGATGAGGCTTTTCGATACAGAAAAAGAGAAGGGAGCGAGGGAGGAAGTGGAGAAAGTGTCGAGACGGGCGTGATGCCGGTATAAAGAAGGACTATAGGGCGACTCAGCTTACAAGGCAGATGGCAGACGGTGGAACGGATGAGAGAAGAAAGAAGAAAGAACATGTACGAGTTTTTTTGGTCTGGTCTTGGAAGCCGCAGAGCCCGCAAATCGTGCTTGTTTTAAGACTTCAACTTTCAGCACACATGCAATCTCGAAAGCCTTGACCAAAACCCACGTGATAGATGCTTTCGAAACTAAGAGCCCTGAAAAGGTAGTCGAGCAGCTTCTTCTAGAGAATTTCCGCAGTCTAATTTCCGGCTTCCATCTCTGAGATGTGTGGTGGGCCCATTCTCAATATTGCAATCTCATAGTCTTGGTACCTATGCCGGCATCCTTGCTTGAGCTTGGTTATTTGTGTTACACAGGAATAGTACGGTTAGGGGTGGGGAGTGGACGGTGGTAGATGAACTTCTGAACAGATCTTTTAATGTTACTCGTTCTCTTCCCACCTTTATTAATTCTACAATCGCAATATCATAGTACTTCATAATTTTTGATATCTATTTATATTTATTTATTTTTATAGAACAAAAGGTACACTATCGATCTATATTACAAATGTATTAGATTGATAGAGTACCATCAAAGTTGATGTAAACTAAGGGGGTTAGGGACGAAGCCGCAATGCCGAGCGCTAACTACCTTTTTGCACACGCCAAATCAGCTCTTGATGCTCGTATACAGATGACGGACCGAACATGGATGACCTATTAATTGAAGTTGGACGTACGTTGAAACTCAACAACTTCCACCGACCTAGGACCTGATGAAGCGCCTAAAAAGTGTGTTTCCGGTCCTCGCAGCAATCACTCATGCTCCCTGTCTGCGATGAATGCAAGCCGGGCACCATGCCGGCTTCAACAATAGTCTTCTCTTCTCTTCCTTTCGCTGTCACATTCCTTTTGGTCTCGACATTGGTGCTCCAGAAGCTCTTTCCTCTTCTATCTGGTGAAGCCCAGTCTTTGAAGACCAGCGCGTATGCTCGATCATTCTCTTCCAATGCCAGCCAGTCTCGACCGATCATCAAACGCTTGTCGGCTTTAACCTTTGCTTCCACTGTTGCATTGGCCGCAGTACTGACAGAATTGATACTGTGCGAAATATCCAACACTATCAACGAGGCAGCCCGTGGACTGGCATTCCGAGTGACGATATTGCTGCTTCTTTTCCTCCTCATAATCGCCATACCGTTCCTCGAGATCCACTCGATCATCTCTGCCTCAGGTTATGAGTTCTCAGGAAAAGGCAAGGGAAGGCTCAGGCTGGCATGGGTGTTACAACTGGCTGGCTTCGCGGCATGGCTCGGGGGGTTCTGGTGGAGTGGAGAATGGCTACTGCGTCGGCTTGGCCAGAGTTCAGGGACTGAGAGCTCTCAAAGCCTCAGTGAGGCTTCTCTCGAGCGCATTGGTGTCATTGGAATCTCAGTCATGTCTCTTCTCTCTGGCTTCGCCTCAGTCAGCTCCCCGTGGCAGAATTTTTTCTCGCGACCCAAGCTTGTCACTGAAGCCACCATTACCCGCAAAGCAGCAGGCCTGGAGGCCACCCAGGATATGCTATCTACCAAACGCTCTCGTTTGCGCGCTCTCGAACGCAAGATGTCCGACGCACCTACAGAAAGCTTCTTTCAGAAAGCCATTGGGTCTATTCGTCGCAACCCCGACTCTACAGAGAGACAGGCTCTACTCCTTGAGATATCTGGCCTAGAAACAATGGCCGTTTCCCTTGCCACCTCTCATTCTAACCTTCAGTCTCGCCTTCAGCAACAAAACCGTTCGCGGACGGCTACAGGTCGCCTCCTTCTTACAGCTTCTTACGTATTCTCTGTCTTCTGCCTTTACCGCATTCTCACCACTACGTTAACTGCCATCCGTCGTGCCCTAAGCGCACATCACTACTCCTCGCAAGACTTCAGATCCTCAGACCCTGTGGACAACATACTCGCCTTGCTAGCCAAGCATTACGATCCTCACTTAGACCAGGCCGCTTGGGCCCGGCAGATATCCTTCCTCCTCTCCGGTCTCATCCTTTTCGGCTCTTTGTCTTCAGTCATGCAGACCTTTCATCTCTTCGCCCGCTTTTTCCCGAGCTTGCTGAAAACCATTCAGGCCAATCTTGCATTGGTAGTTGCGCAGGTGTCCGCTACGTACGTGATCAGTGCGGCGTTGATGCT